CCTGGCGCCCAAATGATATGGAATGTTTCCAAGCTCTGAAGGAAATAAATGCTTAAAGATCCCTCTTGCTAACTTACCCTTCCAGTGATTTTCAACCTGAGGTAGGTTTTGGCTTTTGTTTAGAAAAAGCCTCTCTTATGATGGGTTCCCTCCTTTTTATTTAAAAAATACTATTTAAAAAATTTAGGTGATTAGATAAATGTACAAAAAATTTGCAAAAAACCATGCAAACACACTCATTTAGGTCAACAACACATAGTTATAACTGTCTATGGTCTCTTTTTTTTTTTTTAATGTTTATTTATTTTTGAGAGAGGCAGAGCTTGAGCAGGGAAGGGGCAGAGAGAGCAGGAGGCACAGGATCCGAAGCAGGCTCCAGGTTCCAAGCTGTTGGCACAGAGCCCGATGCGGGGTTTGAACTCACGAGCCATGAGATCATGACCTGAGCTGAAGTAGGATGCTTAATGGACTGAGCCACCCAGGTGCCCCAGCTGTCTATGGTCTCTAATGGCTTTGGTCCAGTTATAAAGTTTCACAGTGTTGTGATTGTGGTGGATAGGGTACTTAGCCTTCTTTGTTTATATTTAAACTGACAGCCCTCTATTTTACACTTCCCATTTTTTAACACTGTCTTCTCTATTCTTAGCAAAGGCCTTCTAATTCACAGAATTCACACCCCTGAACGTTTTACTTCTTTATGGGTTGTGTGATTTGCTTCTTTTTTATTTTATTTTATTTTTTTAAAGTTTATTTATTTTTGAGAAAGAGAGACACAGTATGAGTAGTGGAGGGGCAGAGAGAGAGAGGGAGATGCAGAATCTGCAGCAGGCTCCAGACTCTGAGCCGTCAACACAGAGCCCAACACAGGGCTCGAACTTATGAGCCGTGAAATCATGACCTGAGCCAAAGTCGGACAGATGCTTAACCAACAGAGCCACCCAGGCACCTCTGCTTTTTTCTTTTAGATACAGAAACAATACTGCTACAAATAGCTTTATATGAATGCTTTTTTATTCCTTTGACTTGCTTCTTTAGAATTAGTTCCCAGCAGTGGGTATATTTAAGTACCTGAGGTTTTTTTCTTAAGATTCCCAACTAGTAGATGGTGCACTGTCTCCTGTAGATGGAATACAGTGAATCATTATTCTCCCACAAGTCCACATATATATTCATGATGCAAAGGTGACAAATGTGGGGAGATACTCACGACATGTTACATGGAGTAATGGGTAAACGTATGCAATCTTCAGCCTTTTGGCCAGGGTTGAAATCTGCCCTTTGATTTCCTCTTCTGTAAAATAAGGTCAATAATAGCACCTACCTCAGAAAGAATAGCACCTACCTCATAAGTTTTAAATGAGAAGTAAATGAATTAATTGTCATAAAGTACTTAGAATAGTAACCGACACCCAACAAATGTTAATTATTATTATTTGTAACGCAGGAGCCATCAGAGGGCCCTCCCTACCTGTTGGCTGGTATTTTAGTCTTATTCTTCTTTCCAGTTCTCCCTGCTGTGATTCAGGACATTTGGCTTTTGTCGGGCTGGCTGAACTATTTTTAAAAAGTTGAGTTGCATTTGCCATTAGCAAATTGTGTGTGAGTGTGTGTGTGTACAGACAAACAAAATATAGAAGCTACACGTGTGTTGTGTAGCCAGGGGGACAGACATGTACACAAATGACTCAAGAGTGAACAGTGTATAGTGAAGGGATGTGTGGTCTATATACCAAGTGTGAAGAACCAGTTTCAAGTTTCCATATCACGGGAAGTTAAAAGGCCACACGGGGCATATGGTGCTCTATCGTGGCGTTGGTGGGGCTGCTTCCCTAGAACAGTTGAGGTATGGGGCTGCTCTCCGCAGGCGTTCAGGGAAAGCAGACTGGCTTGGCTGGACAAACAAACTTCTTTGCTTCCATTCTGGGGACGATCGGCTATAAGTTACATGGACGGACTAAGTGCATTCATGCAATGACACTTTTCTCACGTGGTGGTCAATTGTGATGAGACAAATACTTTTCTTTCTTTCTTTTTTTAAAGTTTATTTATTTATTTATTTATTTATTTATTAATTTAAGAAAAAACAGAGTGAGTTGTAGAGGGGCAGAGACAGCGGGAGAGAAAAAGAATCCCAAACAAGCTCTGTGCTCCCAGCACGGAGCCTGATGCGGGGCTCGAACTCACGAAACTGTGAGATCATGAGCTGAGCCAAAAACCAAGCGTTGGACACTTAACCAACTGAGCCACCCAGGTGCCCTGAGACAACTATTTTTCTTTTTTTCTTTTCTTTCTTTCTTTTTTTAATGTTTTATTTATTTTTGAGAGACAGAGTGAGCAGGGGAGGGGCAGAGATTGAAGGAGACACAGAATCCAAAGCAGGCTCCAGGCTCTGAGCTGTCAGCACAGAGCCCAACACTGGGCTGGAACCCATGAACTGTGAGATCACGACCTGAGCCGAAGTCGGATGCTCAACTGACTGAGCCCCGCAGGTGTTGCCAAATACTTTTCTTAAGGAAAGGTTCTGTATAAATTGCTTACTTTGCTCTAAAAATTTACAAAATGTTGTAACAAAGTACAATACGGAGTACAAAATACTCTGCAGTTTGAGTACCACATTGCTTGTCTATCCTTTTATCATGTTACAAGCTTATAATTAAAATAAGTTTTTAAAAAAATATTTTTATTTATTTCTAGGAGAGAGAGAGAGAGAGAGAGAGAGAGACAGTGTGAGCAGGGGAGGGTCAGGAAGAGAGGGAGACACAGACTCTGAAATAGGCTCCAGGCTCTGAGCTGGCAGTCAGCACAGAGCCCGACGCGGGGCTCGAACCCACGAACCATGAGATCATGACCTGACCGGAAGTCGGATGCTTAACCGACTGAGCCACCCACATGCCCCAAGAAGAACCCTTTTACACTGCTGGTGGGAATGCAAACTGGTGCAGCCACTCTGGAAAACAGTATGGAGGTTCCTCAAAAAATTAAAATTAGAACTACCTTATGACCCAATTGTGCAATTGCACTACTAGGTATTTATTCAAGGGATAGAGGAGTGCTGATTCATAGAAGCACATGCACCCCAATGCATAGCCCCGTGTTTGGGTTTGTGCTGGGCGTGAAGCCTACTAAAAAGAAAACCATTATTTTGCCAACGTGTTGAACCTTTCACCTCTCCACTGGTGACCTTGGCAGTGTGCATTTCTCTACAACTTTAGCAGCACTGAGGATCATTATTAAAATCCAAACTCAAAGAAAATCCAATATTAAAACTTGGCTCTGTTGTTCAACAACAAAATTAATTAATTTGCTCTTTTTTCCCCACCCCTGGAGTTTAGCAGAATAGTATTTTTGACCTGGCCTGGCCTCAGTATACCCCAAGAAGATCAATGCAAGGAGCTCTCTTGTAGCTTTGGCCAATTGAATGTCATTGAAAATTCCATAAATATCATGCAAGTCTATCTTAAAGTAAATTAAAACTCAATACAATGTAAGGGTCATGTGAATAAGGACCTAGCGACTTAGATCAAAGATGTGGAAAAAAGTGGCACCTGGGTGGCTCAGTCGGTTGGCATCCAACTTCGGCTCAGGTCGTGTTCTCACGGTTAGTGAATTCTAGCCCCACGTAGGGGTCTGTGCTGACAGCTCAAACCCTGGAACCTGCTTCAGATTCTGTGTCTCTATCTCACTCTGACCCTCCCCGACTCATGCTATGTCTTGCTCTCAAAAATAAATAAACATTAAAATTTTTTTTATAAAAGCATTTAAGGGAGGTTGATCTAAAAGTATGATAAGTTGGGTTGGTGGGAGGGTGAGCCACACATGAGGGCATGAAAACCCTATCCAGGATGGACACCATGAAAATGCAGATGCAGGTGGACAGATGAAAGAGGGCAAAATAAGAGGAGGGTCCTTGTTCGGTAGACAAAATGAAACAAAACAAAACAAAACAAAAAATTGGATTGTTGAGTGTTGAAGACAAAAACACGATAACAAAATCCTGAGTTTGGGAACTTGGGGGGGAGGATAGCAGCATGAGCTATTTTTCACTTATCTGGGCTTCCAGGTCCATATGTGTAATGGCTAAAGGAAACACCTCTATTGTTTGCCTTCTGGGCTCAATATGGGCATCGTGTGCTCTTTGTATAAATGTGTATTTTTAAGATGTTCTGGTAATTGGATAATCACAGTACTAAAGAGGCATGCGAATGATCAGGAGTATTTGCTTTAAAACAAAAAGGAAAGGGCCACCTGGGTGGCTCATTCAGTTAAGCGTTTGACTCTTGATTTAGGCTCAGGTCGTGATCTTACAACTCATGGGTTTGAGCCCCATGTTGGGCCCTGTGCTAACAGCACGGAGCCTGCTTGGGATTCTCTCTCTTTCTCACTCTCTCTCTCTCTGTTTCTCATAATAAATAAATAAACTTTAAAAAAATTTTTAAAAAAGTAAAAAAAAAAAGGAATGAAGATCAAGGAAAGAAGGAAAATAGGAAATCCCATTGAGAACCTACTGCGTGCCTGTTTCGGGGCTTGGCACTTTCAGACACAGAATCTCCACTAATTTTCACCACGCCTTGGAGTCATTATACTCTCCCCATGTTTAAAATGACGGGGCTAAGGGCTCCTGTGTGGTTCAGTCGGTCAAGCATCTGACTTTTGATTTCAGCTCAGGTCAGGATCTCACGGTTGCGAGATCGAGCCCCACATCAGGCTCGGCACCGGGCGTGGAGCCCACTTAAGACTCCCCCTCTCCTCTCTCTCTGCCCCTTCCCCTCTTCAAAAGGAATTTAATATGAGTGGGCTGAAGCCCATCACTTCTCCAGCGTCACACAGTGAGCAGGGTAAGCAGTGGGGAAGCGAGATAACATTAACTGAACTCCCAAGGCAGCACTGAGGATAAGTACTCAGTGATTGCAGACTGTGTTTTTAAAATGGCTGGGTCTGTTCCAGACTCCAGGACAAGGGGAGTCCCTTTTCCCACCACTTCTTTCCTTGTTCCAGGTCTGATGGAAGAGGAAAACCGGACGGGAGTGGTCTACTTCCACTTCCACCCCTTCTCAATGGACCCAGCAATGGCTCCCCTCTTATTTGTGGCCTTCTTGCTGTTGTACTTAGGAAGCCTTGTTGGAAACGTCACCATTGGGCTCACAGTCTGGCGAGATCACTCCCTCCACACCCCGATGTACTTCTTCCTCTTCGTCCTGGCCGTGCTGGAGATTGGCTACTCCACCAACATTGCTCCCCTGACTCTGGCTAGCATCCTTTCCATGGGGCACATGCTCATCTCTCTTCCCAGCTGTGGGGCCCAGATGTTCTTCTTCATTCTTCTTGGAGGGTCTGACTGCGTCCTGCTTGCTGTCATGGCCTATGACAGGTACGTGGCAATCTGCCACCCATTGCATTACCAAGTCATCATGAGTTGGCGGCTCTGTGGACAGATGACTGTAGGTTCTTTGGGCCTGGGATTTCTGTTGTCACTGCCTTTGACCATTCTGATCTGCCGCCTTCCATTCTGTGGCCACAGTGAAATCTACCACTTCTTCTGTGACATGCCTGCAGTCATGCGCCTGGCCTGTGTGGACACCCGCATGCACGAGGCAGCTCTCTATGCCATCAGTGTGGCCGCGGTGGCTGTCCCTTTCCTCCTGATCTGCCTCTCCTATGGCTGCATTGTGGCCACCATCCTGAGGATGAATTCAGCTGAGGGAAAGCGCCGGGCTTTCTCCACCTGTTCCTCCCACCTCAGCGTGGTTCTCCTGCAGTATGGGTGTTGCACCCTTATCTACCTTCGCCCCAGCTCCAGCTACTCTCCAGAAGAGGGCCGGGCAGTGTCTGTTGTCTACACCTTTTTTTCACCAGTGCTAAACCCCTTGATCTATAGCATAAGGAATCAAGAGGTGGCTGATGCAGTAAGAAGACTTATGGTAAGAACGTGCTGGTTCAGGAAATCAGAAGTATTCCTTCCTAGAAAAAGTACTCCCCAAACCAGGAGAAGCATGATCTCAAGGTCAGGATGCTCCAAAGCAAAAAGGAAGGAGCAGAGCGATGCCTGTCTCTGTGGCTTTCCAAGCCTGTGAAGTGCTCACCAGTGTGCGTTCCTCTGCTTTTTAGGAAATTCCAATGAGGAATCCCTGGATTGGCCCTGACTACTTAGCCAGCCTCCTCTCTCATCATAGAATAAGGACTGGACAGGAGTATCAGTGAAGGAGAGGGTGAATAAATGGATGGACAGGGAGACAGTAGCATTTGATATAATGGAGGCCATCCTGTTATCTGTTTTAAGAGCCTACATCCCTGATAGTACATGGACCCAATGAATCCAAATACTCAAATGTCCTCTGACCTTTCTCTTTGCCATTCAAGGCCTGCTCAAGTCCCACTGGCTTAATAAAGTCTGTCTGGCCATTCTTCTGACAGTGGGCTTCCTCTTTCCACTAAATCATACTTCTTTTGATTTTTATCAAAACAAATTATTGTCTTTTTGTACAACCAAGTTTCACACGTTTCGGTGTTGCCTCTAAAATAAGTCTATAAGGCCCCTTAGAATAGAAGAAATGACTTATTTTTTCTTTGCATTTTCTGGCAAGTGGTGGGTATTTAGCTGTAGGGTCTAACCATGGACTTGAGTTCTCACCTTGCTTTTATGTAAAAAAGAGGGTGGTGATAACAACAGCCTTTCTATTTCAAGGGAGTTGGATTGATAGTCAAGTGAGATAATGGATGTGTAAAAATATAATAGGAAAGTACAGGGATGCCTGGGTGGCTCAGTGGGTTAAGCGTCTGACTTTGGCTCAGGACATGATCTCACAGTTCATGATTTCAAGCCCCATGTCAGGCTCTGTGCTGACAGTTTAGAGCCTGGAGCCTGCTTTTGGATTCTGTGTCTCCTTCTCTCTCTGCCTCTCCCCCACTTGTGCTCTGTTTCTCTGTCTCTCTCTCAAAAATAACTAAACATTTAAAAAAGTTAAAAAAATATAAGAAAGTCCAGAAGAAGCCATGATTATTATGTGTGTATGTATATATTTAAGTCCTCTGTCACTTGCACTTGAACTGCTTTTACTAAGTTCAAGGCTTGCCTTCCTGATGATCTGATCAACCCTTCCTGAAGCAGTCGAGACAGTTGCTTCTCATGGCAGGAGATGGCCCCTGCAATTCCTGCAGGGGAGGCCCAAGCTCCAGTTGGCAATGAGAAGGGCTGTCAGGGAGGTTGGTGGCAGGGACCAGATGGAGGGCTGAGAGTAGGTAGGGAAAGGTATTTCCAACACATCTTCCTTAAAAAGGAAAAAGGACAGAATCTCATTCTCTTCTCGATCTGCAAAGCAATCGATGATAAAAACCAGCCTATTCCATATCTGATTGTGTTACATGTGAGAAAGAGGGGGAATATGAGAACCTGATGGCAAGAATTCCCGGGGCATCCAAATATGTTTAGTTGTGCTTGTGTGGTGATTCAACAGTTTATTGATAGCAGTGGTGTTTGGTGGAATTAATATATTACTTCTCTAGTTTTAATTAATTCTGTTTCCAGTATGGTTCCACAAAAGATGTGAAGCAGCTTAAAAATACATTGGATGCACTCGGAAAGCAAAATTTAGAACCACCATATGATCCAGCAGTTGCATTATTAGATATTTACCCAAAGGTTACAAAAATACAGTTTTGAAGGGGTACATGCACCCCAATGTTTATAGTAGCGTTATCAATGGCCAAATTATGCAGAGAGCCCAAATGTCCATCTACTGATGAGTAGATAAAGAAGATAAAGTAGATAAAGTACACAATGGAATATTACTCAGTGAGCAAAAAGAACGAAATCTTGTCATTTGCAACAATGTACATGGAGCTAGACTGTATCGTGCTAAGTGAAACAAGTCAGTCAGAGAAAGACAAATACCATGTGATTTCACTCATATGTGGAATTTAAGAAACAAAACAGATGAACCTAGGGGGAAAGGGGGAAAAGAGAGGAGAAGGAAACAAATCACAAGAGACTCTTAACGATAGAGAACAAACTGAAGGTTGATGGAAGGAGGTGGGTGAGAGATGGGCTAGATGGGTGATGGGAATTAAGAGGGCACTTGCCGGATGAGCACTGGGTGTTGTATGTAAGCGATAAATCACTGAATCCTACTTCTGAAACCAATATTGTACTATGTATTAGCTAGCTAAAATATATTAAAAAGTAAAATAAGCAAGAATGTAAAAAAATAAATTGGATACAAATGTTAAAAACACATAGACAAGAATAAGGCACCTGGGTGGCTCAGTAAGTTGAGCATCTGACTTCAGCTCAGGTCATGATTCATGGCTCATAAGTTTAAGCATCGTGTTGGGCTTTGTGCTGACAGCACAGAGATTGCTTTGGATTCTCTGCCTCCTTCTCTCTCTGCACCTTTTAATGTTTAAAAAAAATTTAAAAAGCCATATAGGCAAGAAGATTGGGGTAAAGGAAAAATTTAGGCAGGGTCATAGAGTATATAGTAGTAAAATTGCAATGCAGAAATGTAACCTGTGTGTTCCTCTGAAGTCTATATAGTGGTCACCTACAGGTATCTGAGATTTCTAGTAGCCAGGGAAAAGAATAAAATATTATTCAGTGTGAGAATTCAGAGTTCATATAATACTACATAGTAGAACTATGGAGAAATCTAACACTTTTTTTTGGTTAAATCTCAGATGTAAAAGAATATTTCCCCACAGCTTTCCAAAGGAGAATATAGCACACTTAACACACCAGTGATTAGAATAATAATACTAGCTATCACTTTCTGAGCACTGAAGTATGTGCCAGACATTGTTTACGTGCTTAGAACACGTTAATTCACTTGATTCCCACAACATCTTATGAGATTGGTACCGTTATTATCCTCATTTTACACATAAAGGACTGAAGCTTAGAGAGGTTGAGTAATTTTCCCAAGATCACACAGCTAGTAAGGGCTGTCACAGTCTCACTCCAGAGCCTGTGACCTTAACCCACTATAACATACAGTAAATATGGGATGAACTTTCTAGGGCTAATGCTCAATGTAAGCTGATGGTGTGACATTGATGTTTCAGTCACTTAAAGCACTTAAATCTACAAGGGATGAGTACAGTCAGTAAAAGGATATATCTCTCAAATTCTCTAACTTGATTTTAGGGAATTAACCTAAACTATTAGAGCCTGATGGGCCAGCATGTCTTTCAGGAGGTGCTCCACAAACACTATTTTACTCAACCAAGGTCTTGATAGGAATTGGAGAAGAGAAAGTTCCTGCTTGTTGTTTTTATCCAAGAGTTGGAATACATATGTTCTGCATTAATAATAAGCCAAGAACTTTTGTACTCACTGTACAAGATTTGGACACGATTGGTTTTCTTTTCTTTCTTTCTTTCTTTTTTTAATGTTTTATTTATTTATAGGAGAGAGAGAGAGAGAGAGAGAGAGAGAGAGAGACAGCGTGAGCAGGGGAGGGTCAGAGAGAGAGGGAGTGACAGACTCTGAAACAGGCTCCAAGCTCTGAGCTGGCAGTCAGCACAGAGCCCGACGCGGGGCTCGAAACCACGAACCGGGAGATCATGACCTAAGCGAAAGTCGGACGCTTAACCGACTAAGCCACCCAGGCGCCCCAGGATTGGTTTTCTTTTCTTTCATTACATATCCATCTGCACGCTCTAATTTCATACTGGTACTCCAACGGAATCAGATTTGAACAGCACAAAACAATATCATCATATTCTAATGTGATTTTATTTACTCATTGGTCTGAGCCCACCAGAGTAACTCTTAGTGGTATTAGCTATGTGAAGCAAGTGGCCTAGTATGCACTGAATGTTTGTATCCCCTCAAAATTCATATATTGGATCTAATCCCTGATATGAAGGTATTTGGAAGTGGTACATTTTGGAGGTAATTTGGTCATGAGGATGGAGTCATCATGAATGGTATTAGTGCTCTTATAAAAGTGATCCCACAGGGGCACCTGTGTGACCCAGTCGGTTAAGTGGCCAACTCTTTATCTTGGCTCAGGTCACATTTTCAGAGTTCTATGAGATTGAGACCTGTCTAGGACTCTGTGCTGTCAGCATGGAGCCTGCTTGGGATTCTCTCTCTCCCTCTCTCTCTGTCCCTCCTTTGCTCTTGTGAGCTCACATGTGTACATGCTCTCTCTCTCAAAATAAATAAATAAACTTAAAAAATTTTTTTAGAAAGAAGAAGAAGGAATCCCACAAAGCTCTCTAACCCCTTCTGCTGTAAGGATATAATGATAGTGTGGAAGAGGGCCCTCGCCCAACTATGTGGCACCTAAATATCAGGCTTCCAGCCTCCAGAATCGTGAGAAATAAGTTTCTGTTGTTTAGAAACCACCCAGTATCTGGCAGTTTATTCTTCTTCTTTTTTTTTTAAACCATTTTTAATGTTAATTTATTTCCGGGGTGGGGGCGTGCAGAGAGAGGGAGACACAGAATCCAAAGCAGGCTTCAGGCTCTGAACTGTCAGTACAGAGCCGACACAGAGCTTGAACTCACAAACTATGAGATCATGACCTGACTGAACTCATGACCTATGAGATCACGAGCTGAAGTCGGACACTTAACTGACGGAGACACTAGGCGCCCCTCTGGCATTTTGTTCTAACAGCCTGAACTAACTAAGCCATGGCCCTACTGCATAATGAATTTATAGAAGGTAGTTATTTAAGAAAACGTTCCCTCTTTTAACTAAAAATATCAGGCAGGCTGTAACTCAGATTTAGGGGGGCTCCTGTGGACCCCCAAATCCTCTTCCTGTTGCTCATGCACATTGATGGAAGGGGGTGAGATAGGACGTCTTGGTTTAAAATCCTGGATCAGCCACTGATCAGCTGTGCAAACTTGGACAAGTCAACCTACTGCTGTAGACTGTGGTTTCCTCATTTGTAGAGTTGAAGCACTGAACACTGATCGACATATCCAGTAAGGTGTTAGAAGATGAAAATAAAATATAAATGAAACTTAGCACACAAATTTATGGTCAGCATCACCACCCTCACCATCCCCTTCCTGCTTATCACTCTCTCCTCTGTCTTCATCATGGCCACCATCCTGAAGATCCGCTTGGCAGAGGGGAAGCACAGGGTCTTCTCCACCTGACTGTGGTCCTGTTCCAGTGTGGATGAGGAAGCCTCCTTCGGGTGTTCCAACACCAGCTACTCTCCCAGAGAGGGGTTGGCGGGTGTCTG